TTTTTTAAAAAGCTGTCTTTAGCATATAGGTCGCAGTCAAGGTCACAAGGTCATTTACCTTGGTGTCATTTGAAAGAAATTAAGTAGTGGAGTATACATACCAAATGAAGTCTCCAGCTCTGATGGATTAAAAGTTATGGCGAAGATTAAAGTTGACAACAGAAAGACAAACAGATAAACAGACAGAACAAAAACAATATACGCCTCGGATCTTTCATTCCCGGCGCATAACTATCTTATTAGTGTCTATTATACATTAACATATAAAATTTGAAATTTACAAGTCAGGTGGGTGAAATGCAATGAATTAAAAACTTTCAAATATACACCTAGCGCGTTAGTGGTGGGTGAACTTGTATAGACAAGTTCATGTGGCGGAATTTGGGTATTACAACGAGTGATCAATTCTCTCATGTCTGGCCCTAAAGTCTGGGTAAACTATCCTCAGGATTAGGGAGGATTAATTTGGGGTTACCTCAGCGGTACCTGAGGGACCAGCTTGATCTTTGTGGGTACCAAAGGTAAGTTTTGGGGCCTACCTCTGGGGGTATTATCTCCATGTTGCTATATTCCAGAATGGGAGGCAGGTAGAGTTTGGTCTGAGTCAGAACTTGAATTCACTCATTTCATGCGGCATTCACTCTTGTTGGTACCAATTTAAGAGGTCTGTTCCCATCACAGTCACCTGTGGGGGCGCTATCGCTCCAGGTTAGTAGGAATGTCATCTCGGTAGGCAGGAGGTGATTCCCTGGGTTCCGCCGGCGTATTTACATCCATGTATCAATAGATTTTGACAAGAAGTTGCCACAAAATGTAATCATTGTTTTGCAATAAATGTGATTAAAATTAATATTAGTTTCTATTCATTGCATCTGGGATTAAAGTAAAAAAAGAAACTTTTTGAAACCCCATCTTTACCCATAATTTGATTATTATGAGGTACTAACATTTGAACTTACTTGTTAGTCCCAAACATGTCACCTTGTAAGCTTATTTATAATTATTTATAATATGTGTAAATTTCCATGTCTGTCATGACTGTCTGTCTGTTTTGGAGACAGATTCAAGTTCATAATCATTTGTTAACTTAGGTATGTTTATTGTATGAAGAAGTAGACTAAAGTAATGTTTTAAGTACTGATTGCACTTTGTCCGTTCTTTTGTATTTGCTAGTACATGTGAACCGTATGATTGCATGTAGTTTTAGGAATATTTTTTTAGACATTTTGATTTGTTTCTATTACATGTTTGGATTGTTGATCAAGATTTATTTGATCAATAAATAACAATGTAAACATATACTTATGGTGTTTATGTTATGTTGAGGTAAAGGAAGGTAAAGGAAGGAGGAGGCATAAAACAGTAACATGTATATGTTATATATGATGGAAAGATTATGTAAACACAAGGAATAGAAAAAAACAACTGAAAATATTTTAGCCGATATTTTCTGTTCAGAATATGATTTTTATTCACTATAACCAAAGAACACGAGAAGATAAAATAATAGTGCACCTGGCTTTTATAAACTGAAAATTAATCAGGTAAAATATGTCTAGATATACGGAGTATTCAACCCATGCATATGCATTATGCATTCAGTTCCGTTGAATTAATCTGAGACTACCTTAATTGGGTTGGTGTACCTTAAAGTGGTAAGAGTTAATTAGACAGGTACAGGCGTTATACTTACTTTTTTTTTAATAATATACACCATATACTTAATTCATTTGTTAAACAATTCATTGTGTTAAATATTACAAATACAGTGGAGTCGCCAATTCCGGGTCGTCTCCAATTCCGGGTCACTTGCGTGTATTTTATGCCTAGTGTTAAAGTTTAAGCGCAAAAAACTTAATGAATACGCTGGTCATGAAGAAGTGGTCTTTCTGTCTGTAATTAATCACAAAATTTTGAATATAAACTTTAAGAGAGCATCCGACAATAGAAATTCTGAATCGCACTCATTAAAGACTTAGATGTTTCTGCTGCGGTGACGGGCTACTTTCGTTTTTGTTCGCTGCAGAAGGGCTGATATAAAAGCTCTAGATAAATAATAATAGCTCGAAAGTATGGTGAATGCATTTAGTTTTAACTCAGAAATCAGTCATAATGATCGCTGCTCAAATAAAATTATAATGATTATTAAATCAAACTGTAGTAGTTTCTCTAATTGCGGATCACTCAATCTCGTGGCATGAACATGTCAAAATTCTATGTATAAAACCCATCGACAACCATGTATTAACCTTGATTATCAAAAGTATTCTAACTGGAAGATATTTTTTCTGAAAATTAAAAATCGAATTAAGCCATCAAATGCATTTTTTAAATCAATTAATTTAATTGTATTATTTTTAATCCTAATACATTTTTTAATTCTGCATACTGCAATTTGTTTTGTTGTAATTGTTTTAAAAATAATTTAAACAAATTTCTGTGGTTGTTTTACTTTTTTCCAAGCTGCATGAATTGTTTTATTTTTCATCATAAAAAACATGTTCCGAAACGTTCCGTGAATATTACACGACCGTGAAGTCACATGACCCGGAAATGGAGAAAATGATTCGTAACTGGGGAAGCTTAAGGCCTTGCTGAAATACCCCTGTATATATTGTTCCCGTGTAGCTACTTTGAAAACGAAAAGATGTTTGGATGACTCACTATTTGTTCTTTCATTACATTTATTGCATAAAATATGAATTGAACAGATTTGCAAAATATCAACAAAACACCCTGACGTGACCCGGAATTGGCGACTTAACTGTACTGCAGAACATATCCCGTTTTAATGGTTTCACGTATTCATCAATCATGGAAAGATAATTCATACATTGTTCGTTTTGTGTGGAATCGATGCAGATCGATGTTTGAGCACCAGGTCAAAATTAATTGAAAGAAAAAAATTTAAATCCTAAATACATTTACATATAATAGACACTCATTTCTGAGTTTTTCAATTTACAAAATACTTCTAACATCTCACAAGATCAATATTTGAGAAAATATGCCCTCATTTAGAAATTCAAATCATCATGTGTATCAAAGACTTAATATGCTTAATTAAGTGATCTTAGAGTTGCACAGTGTACCTATGCACATTGAAGCAGTATTGATAACACATTTGTAAAATTTAATATTTTAGCTGAAGATGATATGTAAAAGGAAGAAAATTCCACTTGTCCTATTTCTCTTCTTTTTTCAGGTTAACAAATGTAGACCTCTTATACATATAGTAAGATCCTCTACCGATACATATTTTTGCTGGATGCTAATTCCACGTCCAGTGAAAACGATCCTAAGAAACTTTTTAAAACAGATTTAAAACAGAAATACAAGTTCAATGCACTAAAATATAAAGAAAGGCATTTGTAAGATGCGAACATTACTATGTCTTTGCTTGTGTAGAAAAAGCATTTAAGTATAAAGAGTTCACGGGGGATATCCCAATACCGATATTGGAGATAGGAGAGCTAAAATTGAATACATGTATGAACAAGTATTTTTCATTTACAAACTTTTACTTTTAGAAACAATCTACGGAAACCTTTTGTTCCTAGATGCCTCTACCATAGGCCTTTAACTAGCTATAGCTTAATTTGACAGACAAATCCCAGTAAAAAGATATGAAAGTCATTTTATAGAGGGTGTACTCACTTCACCTATGAGACTAAATAATGAAAAAAAATATTAAGCTTTCGTTTCATATCATTCTATTTAATGACTTTTAAGTTAAGGGGTCCCGCCCCTTTGCTATAAATTTCACTTTAAAAAATTCAAAATTTGTAATATTGATTTTCATAAAAAAATAATAACATTAATTAGAGCCACATGGAAAATAGTTTGAAGTATGAAGCACTGCTTGTTTTTTTCAGAAATGATTCTTATGTCAGATTATGATATGAAGAAATTGAACAAAGAGAACAGAAAGAGTAACGATTTATTATCACAGCATTAAAATTGAAATATGAGGTGCATATGAAAATAATACTTAGTATCCTAGCTATTAAAATCATGTTAGAAAACATCATGAAGCGATGCTTCATAAGTCAGAAAATCACAATGTTGTATGTGGTTGTAAGAAAAAATACATCTGTGAGGAGGAGTTATCTTTCTTTTAAGTATTTCTTCATGTGAAAAGAAATGTCATACAAATAAAAATGCTGTATTAAGTACTTAAAATATTAAACCAGTTTTAAAATGGTCCTAAAAAAGATACAGCTTATTCAATTTATTAGGCTTTCAAAGTTGGATTTAAATATTCTATTGTTAGATATAATAAAACAATTACAAAGAAATTGGCAAAAGAAATAAAAAGTAATGTTTTCCTACGTTAGACTTCTTCGAATCGACTACTTAGAGGTCTCAATTAATAAACTCTAATTAAGAAAATTACGAGTAGAATTCATATTTTGTACTTTGAAAGTTATCTGTCTTATCAGAGGGTCGGTACCCCTTAAGGAAAAAAGGAGATTTAATAATTATAATTGTAGATCTGGAGGTAAGTAGCATGTACATGTACTTTTTTCATACAAGTTCTTAAGAAACAGAACACTTCAGAGTTGTGTGCAGCATAAAGAGTGTTCAGAAATATATTCTACAAAAATATTTTAAGCCAATAAATAGTAAGGCTCCTTCTACAGTTTTATGTAGGACACTAAAACCAAGAGTAAAGTCACGCATATTACGTATATACATGTAGTATGTACAATTCATCCTTTCGTTTCAAAAGTGTTTGAAAGATAGTAGATAATCAATTCAAGATGTTTTAGTTCAGGTACATGTAATTGCCAATTAGGAATGGACGTTCAAAAGTTACCTCATCATCTTTTATTCTTCTTTGGTTCTGCAGAAATGATTCTAACAAGGTAATTTGATAAATGAATCTAAGTAAAATAATGACCACACGCATATGGTACCGTAATGTTATTTACTGTTTAAAAAGATCTTTGCTGTCTTTCATTTTTTTTTCATAGTTGAGCAATTAAGTGATTTCCTCTCTATAGATAATACAATAATATTAAACTAAGCTAATGAAAAAGAGGGTTTTGCAAGATATCTCTCGTATACTATTACTCATGCGAGAAATTCAATTAAAAAAAACTTTATAAATACAGATTCCTGTGTATTTCATTAATTTTAAAGAAGCAGCGGTGTTCACATTTACTCAGAATGACTGCCGTTACTGTTTTGTTTGTATTTCTCTGTATTGGTGGGACTTTTGCAAAAAAGGTTTTACCAGAAAAAGACCCGTCTCTGGACCAAACCTTATTGTCAAGTACTACTGATGGAAAAATCTCTGGCGTTTTACGAAACATTTTAAACCAAGAAAGTTTAGTTCGCTTCTCCATGGCACAGAAATTTCAGACTTTGGTTTTGGATGTCCTGGATAACCAAAACAACAGTAGGAGTCTGCAGAGGAAGGTCGTCAACATAGCTAAAGAGTTAAAGGCTCTGGAAACGAGGGACCAGATACTGGAAGCGGAAAATTTGAAACTCAAACAAGAATTAATGATGATGTACGAGTCCTATAGGGATAACCAGAGTAACATAATGGAACAAATGCTCGATGAATTTGACACACGCCTCAAAATGGTTGAAGAAAAAATGATTATACTCTCAGCTCAACAAACGACAGGTAAATTAAAATTGTATTATAATTACTTTATTTCTTCACATATTTCAGAATATCATAATTAATAAAATAATTTTAATATCAAAGGTGCAAAATTAAAAGGCAAAACTAATTAACACCAATTGAATCAAATATGCGAACATGATGCATGATCAATTATGGAAAACAACATTAAGGACTCGAGAAATCAAATTAATCCAATTACTTATATCAACCAATAAAAAGTTTTCTAAAAATTTTTACTCTTTAATAAACTATGTTCTCACTTTGATTATCAACCTTTACACCCAATTATATGTTAGAAGTACCTGTAAAACAAAGGAATTTACAAATGAAAAAAAATAGTGAAATGTATCAAAATACCTACATTTATTATGCAATATTCGTTCCCTATTACAAAATCAAAGAAAAACGGGGATAAGTCTTTATTTTAGTGAAAAGGGGGCACCTCAAAACACAAATATGCTTAATAGATTTACCTAATACTAATTCCGGAACTACTGCATGATAAACAAGAGGCCCAGGGGCCACATCGCTCACCTGAGCAAATCGGCTATGAAAAAGCACAAATCTGATCAGAACTGAAAAGTTTACTGAAAGGGGGGAGGGGGGGCTTGAATTTAATACTACTTGAGAATGCCTTCATATTAATACAGCAAATAACTTTGCTGTTCTTGATAAAAGGATTATTTCAAAACATTTCCTTCCTATATATAACTTCATAAAAATTTGAATTTGATTCCCCATTGTTTCCCTCCCTACCCTAAGGGGCCATGTATTGAATAAATTCAAATCAGGGTTTGACCAAACTTTATTCTACACTACCCGAAAATGATTCCATTTAAATACTAGTATCTCTAATCATGGCTTTGTTATTCTTGAGAAGAAGATTTCTTAAAATATATATTTGAATGTAAAATTTTGATCGGCCATTGTGGCTCTACCCTACCCCCGGGGGTCATGATTTGAACAAACTTGAATCTACACTACCTGAGGATGCTTCCAAATGAGTTTCGTCTTTCCTGGCCCAGTGCTTTTTGAGGAGAAGATTTTTAAAGATTTTTCCTATATATATTCCTATGTCAAACTTTGATCGGCCATTGTGGCCCCATCCTACCCCCGGGGGTCATGATTTAAAGAAAATTAAATCTACACTACCTGAGGATGCTTCCACATGTGTTTCGTCTTTCCTGGCCAAGTGGTTCTTGAGAAGAAGATTTTTAAAGATTTTCCCTATATACAGCTCCTATGTAAAACTTTGATCGGCCATTGTGGCCCCACCCTACCCCCGGGGGTCATGATTTGAACAAACTTCAATCTCCACTACCTGAGGATACTTCCACATGAGTTTCGTCTTTCCTGGTCAAGTGGTTCTTGAGAAGAAGATTTTTAAAGATTTTCCCTATATGCTCCTATATGAAACTTTGATCGGCCATTGTGGCCCCGCCCTACCCCTGGGGGTCATGATTTGAACAAACTTGAATCTACACTTCCTGAGGATGCTTCCACATGAGTTTCGTCTTTCCTGGCCCAGTGGTTTGTGAGAAGAAGATTTTTAAAAAATGCCATTAATTTTTCTCTAATTCATAATTATCTCCCCTTGGAAAAGGGCGTGGCCCTTCATTTGAACAAACTTGAATCCCCTTCACCTAAGGATATTTTATGGCAAGTTTGGTTGAAATTGGCCCTGTGGTTCTTGAGAAGAAGATGAAAATGTGAAAAGTTTACGACGACAACAATGACAACAACGACGACGCCGACGACGACAGACAACGGACAAATTTTGATCAGAAAAGCTCACTTGAGCCTTCGGCTAAGGTGAGCTAAAAAGGCTTTATTCCTTAAACCCTGTATGCTAGAAAGCTATTATTATAAACTTTTTTCTTTCAGATACAAGGAAGAAAGTGTATTTTTCAGCTGGAATTTCAAAAGAAATAGGGAACTACGCTGAATGGAATGGAAACGATGTGATTTTATTCCAAAAAGTAATTTCGAACGAAGGAGGGGCTTATAATGCTTCCACGGGAGTGTTCTCAACACCGGTGGGCGGGGTTTATGTGTTCAGCTGCTTCATTCTGACAGATAAAACGACTCTCTATGCGTATTTAGAAGTCAACGGTTTAAAAAAATTCAATATTCTTGGCTACACTCCTCCCAGCAGTAGAGATGATGTGGAAAGTGCTGGAAATCTTGCTGTTTTGAATCTACAGCAGGGTGACAGGGTCCTAATGAGACACACGGGTGGAAGTAATCTACGGTCTATGTTAGAAGCGCCATCCACCACCTTTTCTGGTTTTCTATTGTACTAAAAATATCATTTGCTTATCTGCAAATTCATATCCGACATTTTAACAAGAGCAAACTTTCCAAAATGATGAAATACCTTTGTGTACTTGTATATTATTTAATTGGTTTTATTATTATAGTTGATGTCGTCCTCTAAATGTCAATTTGATCCTAATTAAATCATCGCCTTTAGACCAATTCGGTAATATGCTCGAAATACAGTGCATGTACATGAAATACATATATCCATATCTCTTTAAAATTGTGTTACTACAATAAAAATAAAAAAAAATATTTCAAATAAAAACTGGCTACATCATTTCATAGGCCGCATTGGGACATTCAACATTGTTCTGCTGAAAAGAAATAAAATACAAAAGTTAAATAGTCCTGAATTAAAAACATATAAAAAAAACTTCAGAGTACGTCACAGTGTAGCTATAACCGAAACAATTTTGAGTTGCTTTCAGGAATCTTTATACATGTAACAAACGCAGAAAAAGCAGCACAAAAGGAAGCCAAAAATATAGCAAAAATAGTCTTGAGTGTATAATAACCGGATGTAAGAGTTTTATAGAGTGTACTGAAATGAATACTCAAACTGAATCAAGTAAAAACTGAAATTCACCCCGTGAAAAGGAATAATGGCTTCCCAGCTGCAGAAAATCACGTCTTTAAACTGACAAATTATCTTGATACTCGAATAAATGATAGCTAAATAAATACATGTATTAGTTGGTATATAATAAACTTTTTGGGATAAATGGGTGCAGATAATATACATTAAGTCTTAATTATCAAGAGTTATTTCCTGTCGGCTGCCATATTGCAGGTCAACATGCTGTATTCCTTCATTATCAACCAACTTTTAACTTTTTATGCTGATCATTGTGGGTATAGAAAGCATTGCATGCGTCACAGTTGTGTGAGAAGATCCTATTTTGGGTACCAAAATACTTAGTTGGCAATTAAGAAAAGTTAATTTCTTCACTATGTTGTCATACGGGGGCAACAGTGTTTCACAAAAACATCTTTTTAATTAAAGCAGTATATTTAAAAGTATCAATATTTTATATGCATATTTTTTAAAGGGATTTAATTTGTACATGTACAAAACATTAAATACAGTACAGACATTTTTTTCTTTAAATTGTCTTGAAGTTCTATTTTCTAACAAAACTGTTTAAGGTCAAGATCTAGTAAATAACTTCAGACTAATTTTTTTGTGCTAGATCCATTATGACGTCATAATCAATTTCAACTTTCTTTTTCCCGTACTTTACAGCTTTAGCAGAATTATGTAGAAAATGGGGTGTTTTCATGGCATTCAATTTGAAATCATATGAAAAGTAAACCGGATACCTATATTAAATTTGATATTGATTTATAGAAGAGGCCACGAACATACTAATTACCGTTTTCTGAGAGACTGTAGGCAATCTGGATACATTTCTTTTGCCGAATACGAAAAAAACTCCCATATTCATGACTGGTTTTCTTAATTTTTCATTGAAAATGACAGTTTAAAATACAGTTTTTCATCTTGTTTACCTACAAATTATGCCCCGAAACACCTTATTTGACCAAGCTAAAGTTGTAAAGCATCAATAAAGGAATTTATTTCTCAAGTTTGATAAATCTGTAGGCACCTTTCATTTACTAGATCTTGACCTTAACTCAATTTATATTTAATAATAAATAAAGGTAAGTTCACTTTTTCACTCATTACACTAGTAGCACAGTTTTACTTCAGTGTCTCCTTCGTTGTCATCAGCTGTGATACCGTGAACCAACTATTATATTCATGTCAACTTTTATTCGCGATTCGTCCGTTTGTAATCAATCCGCGACTTAATTTTGGCGACTTAAGAAACATTCTCAACATAAACAAAGAAAAAAAAAGCGGTTCGTGATTATTTTTTGCGAATGGAAATATATCACGAAACCCACGAATATTCCTCGCTCGCGAATAAATGTTGGTTTACAGTATTCCCCCTTTTATTTGTAAAAATTCCTTTAAAAATGACGCACTTCAAAATCTGCAGGTTTTCTAGACACTCGTATTATCTGAAAGAAAATTTCAAATAAATTAAAATAAGGTTTTCTGCCTTTTAAAAAGAAAGAACATGAAAGTACAGGCGTTTGATATGTCATGACTAGCATTATAGGATCCGGGGGTTATGTGAGAAAAAGATTTAAATAATGTAAGAGCAAGAAGATGCAACAATTTCGAATGCATAGATTTTCATTGCTGTTTTTCATATTTCAGAAAAATAAAGGTTCATATTACCGGTAATATATATATCAAACTATACGATCTTCGTAAGCCCTACTAAATGTTCGAAATGTTCTAAAACAATTACTCAGAAAAATAATTTACAATATTTTAAATGTGCTTAAAGTTGTGCAATTTTAATTTAAAAAAAATACTTGATAATAGCAAAAATTATTTCTATTGTAACACGCACGTGTGTAATTTTACATTTAACAAGAATGTATACATACAAATACATATTGTATTTATTGCCATTTTGTTCTCAAGAAGAAGATCGATCCTCAAAGAGTGTTAATTCTCGTTCATTGCGTCCTATAAAAGAAACAAGTACATGGACATATGTACAGGTATTCGTATTATGTTTAATGATAAATTGTACTTACTTTTAAACCCACATTTCCCAATATATCCAAACTATAATTTTTTTTATTCCTTTTTAAAATCTCAAATTTCTATGGGTCATTTTTATACATGCAAATCTGAAACTTACAAAGGGGAAGTTGGAAAGCATTTATGATCGTTCAGGCTTAACTAGCGTAATTTGAAGTAAATATATAATCAAATTTAATGATTAGATTTGTTGCATTTATTCCCAACCACCAGAACTTAAAAATACATAATTAAATGTTTTGCTCCCTTCCCCTTCCGTTTTGAAATTGAAAAAAAACATTTTTGGAATCCTGTTTGAGCCTTCAATAATCAAGGCTGCTTCAAATAGGATAATTTGATTTCCAGAACAAGCCGCCTTACTTCAGGGCACTCTCTTGGGGGATGAGGAAATTTGTAGTGAGGGTAGAAATTCTTTTTTTTTTAAATCTTAAAGTTGCGAAGCGTGATACATGTAAATTATTAAAGGAAAAATTGAAATAAAGTGATCAAACAATAAAATTGTGTCACTTCAATGCACCCATACATTTTTTGTCCCATGACCGCACGTCAGATTTATTTATAAGCAAATCGATTCGGACGCCAAACAGCGTGGTAAGTATTTTTTATTTCTCCTATGTCAGCAATATATGATTATGGTAAGTTATAAAGTAATATTAAAATATCTTATCTCTGAAATCCAGTTCATAGGATTATCAAGGCATTTTCTAATACTATTACAATATTCATTGTGGTTTTCTATTTACTATATGTAAACAAACCACGGCACGTGGGCAATGTCGGATTTGTCGTCAGAATTAACTTCCCAAGACTTTCACTCAGGAAGGTTAAGAACAATTTAAGAGACATAGTTCTGTTCTTTAAATAAATGTGCCTATTTTCGACTTTTCAAAAATTGTAATTAAAGGTAGCTGTGGTTAATGCATGGCCTGATGGAAATACCCTTTTCTAAAATTAGAGACAACTCATGAGCGAGGTCCATTAAGGGATGCATAAGAGTCATGATATTATATTTACTGTTACGGATTAGGTAATGAACAATAATTTCAAAAATAAATCAATTAAAATATATAACAAGTCCTTAATTATTATTTTATTTCATCAGACATTTTGCATAAGCTGTTCATTCGGTTATTATCGAAATGTATATACTATGAATTTTTTTTACCAGAATGGCAGAAAAAAAAGAGCAAATGTTCAAATGTTTACCCCTTTTTGTGGGAATATACATATGGTTAAACGCTATAGGTATTATAAATTTTATGTTAATTTCAAACTAGTAAATAAATCAAAATTTACGTTTTCAATACCGATTAATTTCAACTGTTCTTGTTAATTTTGCTTTATTTTGAAACAAATAAATTATCTTCATTATTGTATAGAATAGAATATACATTTTTAATGTTTTATTTCATGTTAAAATTAAGTTCATAATTACATAATTTTATACAGGATATTTTAAAATAATTATTAATCATTTTAAAATAATCAATTAAAACTTGACATACATATGAAACACTACCTTCCAAAACTTTCTGGAATAATTTTCACAATTGTTTATGATCAACTTCGTTTATATTCTAAATGGAGAAAAAAGTAAACAACATCTGTAAAATTAAATAAAAAAGAGGATGATTGAAGTTAGACTTAAGAAAGGAAAAATCTAGTTCTAACTACATTGTAGTACCTATACGTCCAAAATAACAATCCAATACTCAATTAATACACCTATATTCCATGAGATCACACTTATAGACACTGAACTATTGCTAAGCAGATCATTCGTGTTTAAACGGAATAAATAAAAGGATCCATCCAATCATGGAACGGAAAAACCGAAAGAGTTAAAATTCAATATTTTCTTATATTAACCCGAATACACAATGGCTAAAAATAACTAGTCTACAGGTATTTTCCCTGTATTTCAATTCGTTATTGCAATATAACACATTGTACAGGATGAGTCATTATTAATAAAATTTTATTGATTTACTTTCCAGAGTGTACCAGCGCGTAGTTTTCATTTGAAAATATTTCTCAACTGTTTAAAAAAAAAGTACCTATGCATCTTTTGAAATATATCCTCTGATAAAAATCATTTTTTTATTTTACAAATATCCTTTGTAAAAGGGGTCAAATATTTTAATTTGCTCTTCAAAAATTAATTAAAATTACTCATTACAGTCAACTTAATTCAACGCAGTCTGAATAATTCAATGGTATTGCATGTGTTCATCGTTATACAACCAGGAACATACAGGAACATATACATGCATCTATCGAAGATGATACACATGTTAAAGCAAGAGAAATCGATGCAAATATTAAATAATTCTAATAGAAGTATTTTATTTTGAGAAATCAAATATTACTACATGTAATATAGAATGAATAAAAGAACAAATGCACCCCCTTCTGAACCTTTCATTCACCCAATCGGCAATTCTCGACTGACTCCACTTCGCTCCATTCAAACGTTATGTGCGAGGCACGATCACTCCGAGGAACTCCGAGTGCTCATTCACCTGACTGTGATATAATAATTATTTATAGATCTATTTCAATTCAGATTGACAAGGTAAGCCAACATCAACTTTAAAGATCTCATATGTTGTTTATGTATAATAAATCAGTCACAGATATATTTATATATGAACTCATCACATAGCCAGTTGATAAAATTAATGCCAAAATTCTTCTTCGCTTATCTTAAACCAAATCGTAAACTTTAAAAGAAATTAAGGTCGTCTACCCAGATAGCATGAGGACATTGGCCCAACGTTGGCCCAACAATGTCGGTTATGTTGGGCCAATGTTGGCAGTTTTACGTTGGCCCAATGTGTTACTGCTCATTGGCGCGCCGTTGGCCCAACATGTTGGGCCAATGTTGGTACAATACTGTTTGTTCATTTGTCAACGTTGGTACAACGTTATTCCAACATACCAACGCCAACGCAATATTTTTTTAACGTTGGCCCAACGTTGGACCTCAGTTCAAAATATAATCATGACGTTGGTCCGACGTTGGTCCAACGTTGGTACAACGCTTTTGTTGAAATGCCAACGTTGGTACAACGCTATTCCAACGTACCGATGCTAACCAAATATTTTGTAACGTTGGCCCTACATTGGACCTCAGTTCAAAATATAGTTATTATGTTGGTTCAACGTTGATACAAAGCTGTTTCTTGAAATATCAATGACACAATTATTCCTCAGTACAAATGTCTTACAACATGTACAAAATTAATTAAATTCTGTAATTTTTATTTCCCAGATTATACGACACAATTAATTTCACCATGTTTGGTCAAATACTTTTTTCCTCCTAAAATGTATCACAATATATTCTTTGCCACTTTCACTTTCATTAAAGTATTCCATGGAATGTAACTAAAGAAGGAAGAGGTAGAAAGTTCAATGTTTCTCAAGTACACTCCACATCACTATGTCCACTACTAAATATCACTTTGATATAAGAGTCTTCAAGTTCTAACTGTAGAGTTTTGAAAGGTCATATTTGCATCACTTATCACTTTTTCTGTTGTTTATCTGTTCTTAGAATCCATGTTTCCCACACATATAAATCAGTCCCTTCCATATACAGAAATGCCACATCAATAGTCTCAGAGTGAAGAGGGTTTTTCCATCCCGGCAATTCCTGCAAACGTTAAGATTGTCATCAATTAAAATAGTATTTTCAAATGTTCATCAGCATCACACATATTTTTAAAGCAATCCTTAAAATTGAATTTCACATTAGTAATTATTAATAACAAATACAAAATAGTTACTTACATTTCACTGGTTAACATTCTTGCGTTCACTTACAGATCCGGACATATCTGCTCTGTTCAAGCCCGCCAATTCCTATAAAAGTTAAGGTCGTCATCAATTACAATTGTTTAATCAGCTACCTGGTACCAATAATTTGAAAGCCTACATGCAGGCCATTACAATGTTGTGTATTTCACATTATTAATTATTTCAATAACAAAAACAAAAGCTATACTTACATTGAAAGAATTAAAATTCTTGCTTTCACTTAAACAGACACATACGCTTTGAATTGTTAAAGTGCGCGGTTAAAAAAAACTGATTTAAAGATGACGGTTTCCTTGGAGACCTATGAGTCACCTGCCGAGCCAGTGAATTTCACCAGTGACCTATTTATTTTGGAGCCCAAAACTTGCAAAACACATGCAGCACTTTAAATTTGATTCAATGATGCTAAATATAGAATCTACCAAGATATAAAATTACTATGTATTTCACAGACTTATAAGGATTGTCTCATAATTTCCATTCAATATATAATATAGATCACATGTTTATAATGAGTTGCTTATTACATTACCATCGATTTACAATAGATAAATCTAAATTGATGAATACTTTTCGCAACATTGGACCAACGTTGGACCAGCATTTCATCTCAAACATTACAGGCTACCTGTACATGTACTAGTAATCCCAGTATTCCTACTATTGGACCAACTCCAGTTCAGTCAAGCACAAGTATATTGTCAACATTTATTAAGCTGGGCCACCGTTGGGCCAACATTGAATAACCAACAATAAGTGGCAATGTTTTGCCACTAACGTGTACTCAGTTAGACCTACGTTGGGCCAACATTTCATATTTAACACACAATGGTTTTAATCCATGTCAACATTTACTCGGTTGGACCTATGTTGGGCCAACATCTTAATGTCCAACACCAAATCGCTATGTTTCTTGTCAACATGTAACTACAATGGGCCAATATTGGGCCAACATCACATGCCCAACACCGTTGGTTTAGCTTTCATGCCAACGTAAATGAACGTTGGACCAACGTTGGGCCAATATCACATGCCCAACACCGTTGGTTTAGCTTTCATGCCAACGTAAATGAACGTTGGACCAACGTTGGGCCAATATCACATGTCCAACACCGTTGGTTTAGCTTTCATACCAACGTAAATGAACGTTGGACCAACGTTGGGCCTACATCTGTTCCCCAACGCCAACACTCCACCAACCATACAACCAAAAACCAACGTTGGCCCAACGGAGTCATGCTATCTGGGTAGGTCTTAAAAATAACGTATATCGCTAGATAAATAAGTTTTTTCAGTTTTTTTTAGGAGCAGGAGTAATATGTCAAATGTTGAATATTTTAATTAAGAAATGTATGCATAAATATTTTATTAACCGAGAAAATAATGTTATAATTCTATATATATTTTCAAAACATTGGAAGTACAGGAAATCCCCTTCACTAAATTTAACCTGAAGAATAAAAATAAATAAAGGAAGTAAGAACTATATTTAGTCAAGAAATATTTTTTCTTTTAGTTTTTAATTTTCATTGTTTATACTTTGAATCAACATGAAATACTTCTTCAAGCATAAAAAATTAAAGAAAATATAAGTTAAAAATTATTATAGTTTTTCATGATATCCTTTTTATATCTTTATTTTAATTATTTGTTTATTTTTACATGTATTCAATAAATTGGTCCCATAATGTGTTACATGTACATGTATATCATTATAATTTAACTTTATGTACCATGTAACATAATATTCTAAATATATATTGCTGACTTGTGTAACAAGTTTACTTGCCTCATATTTTATATACATGCAGTTATATATCCAATTAAACTGATTCATGTAATATCATATTATGTATTTCAAAAAGTGCCATGACTAAGATATAGTGTATTTATAATAAGCTTACAACTCACACCAGTTGGTAGGAGGGGGGGGGCTCATCCTCCAAACCTTGAAGAATGTATATTTTCATTTCATATATATATGGACAAATTCTTCATAAATAAATTGAATCATTTTTAACCCCCCCCCCTCTCGTAAGTCGCCCTTGTGGAGCTATGGTTAGAGCGTCTGCTTTTGATTGGCGAAGTAAGGAGTTTTTCTTCAGGTCGCAGGTTCGAATCCCACATTGGGACGTGGAGACCGGTCCTTCGGATGAGACCGTATAAACCGAGGTCCGATGTCGCAGCAGTGGGTATTGGTACGAAAAAGATCCCTCACTGCTTATGACCGTGAGTGTCGAGTAAAGTAGGAATAAATTGTCAGCCCTCCATCGGCAAATTGTACATGTAGCATTTTCATATTAGAAATATATTATAATAACAAACAGACGTTAACTAATAAACAAACAAATAAAACCCCTTTCACTTTTCTTGGTATGAATGTCACACAGAAAGAAAGCTCTTAAAATATATAACATCCTTGCTTTTGTAGGTACATGTAATTTACTACGGTCACATGTAAATTTGCAGCTTTATTTTGTAGATTTTAAACATCAAACAACACAACATCTATTAGAAATTGGATAAAAGTATATATATTATTATTTGTTGTTTAATGCCCCTCTCGAGAAATTTTCACCCATATTGAGAAACAAGCACTTGCCGGTGCAGAGCTGAAAATTTTGTCCTAATTATACTCGGCACTTACGGCCATAGAGCATTGAGGGGTCTTTTTCTTGCCAGCATTTACTACGACATGGAAGTTCGTTTTATACAGTCTCATTTGAAGGACCAGTCTCCATGTCTCACAGTGGGAATCGAGCCCCAGAAGTAAGGGTGAACTTCTCACCTCGCGACTATAGATCAGACGCTCTAACCGCTCTGCCACAGGGGCTACAGGTCCATAAATGGCGTAGATAATAAGTAACATGATTATCAAATAGGAGGGGAAGAATTCTAAGAATCGCAGAATAATTTTACGGGTTAAGGGGGAGGGGCTGGTGTTTGAAGATCTATCAAGAGCCGTGTGTCACTTTGCGTGAACCCTGCGGTCAACGCAGTAAATATATAAACGAGGTTAAACCGGATGCCATGGGCAAATATAATTAAGATTACGCATGCGCAAGAATGCTAGAGAGTTCGCCCCTATTAGACAACTTACACGTAGAATGGTTCGTTCTATTCAAATTAGAATATGCCATTCATTGACAAATCTCACTTCGAAATCTGCATATCGTATTTATCTATTCCTTGGCGAATCCAAATTTCTCTCTTTTACATATACTTTTATAAACAAACTAAACATTGATTCTATGGCACAATTATTATTAAAAAAGTAGGAAGAACATGTAGTTTATATAGATAACGTAACAACTTCAATTTAAAACTTTGGAAACATTTAACAATTAGTTTTAGCTTTTAAAAGATAGAACAAGTCTTCACATGCATTAATTTAGTTTTGAGCATGAAGGCTCGCAGAATAATTTGATATACAGCAATCGAAGCTTGATAGGGGCCTGTAGCAAATGCTTCCATGTAGGGGAAGGGGGGTTCGAAAAAAATTTTATATAGTACAGAGCTGTGCTACACGTTTAACGTCAGATCTATTTTTCAATGATAGATTTCTTCCGTATAAATCCAAAACAGATGTGAAGTCCAAGTTGTTATGGGCTACATTATCAAAAATGAAAAAAGCCCGATTTTTTTAATGACAAAACTGTAGGTTAATCGGAGATAAAATTCAATAATTTTGCTATGAAACTACTATCAGTAAACGTAGACAGATCATTGTAGAAATGTGAACAAACCTATATAAATATTTACTAAACCATGAATAATCCTCTAATTGAATTTCTGTTAGAAACACATGCGTATGGTCCACGTATTGCAGTCCTTTTTTTTAAAGGAAAGCTACTTGTTTGTATATATATTTTAGTTACAAGCATGAACTTTCTGATGTTTATTTTTTAACAGGTGCAGTTAAACCAGGATATACTTGTTTGTCTTTGTGTAAGAATATGACAAATATCGAAGGTTAGAAATAAGTTAAGAAATACTAGTAAGCAACAAACACAAATAATGGAAGATAGTTCTGTCTGTGATGACGAAATTCAAAAATCGAGCGATTTCATGCCTGAATCTGACGAGGAAGATAATGGTGAAGAAAAGGCAGATTGTTTTGTTCCTGAATTCGAGTCGGTTCATCAAACAACCAATGAAAGTCAGAAGGATATTAATCTTTGGGACAATTGCAATGAAAACGAAAGGGAGACGTTAAAGCAACCAGTTCAAGAAGGAAACTCACCTTATAATATCTCCAGATCCAGAAGTGATGGAATATGGTACTTTGAGCCAATATACTTTGTGAAGCCTTCATCTGTGGATGCAATACTCCCAGTTATGATTTGTCGAGAAAAGCAAATGACAGTCATGTTGTTGAGATTTCATCTTGACGAAAGTCTTGTTGTTGAAATTAGTTTCTATCTGCTTTTCTCAGAAGGACTGTATCTTCCAATCCAAATCGCAACCATGCGGATAAACTTACAAGAGTACTTCATACAGAGCGGGATGGCTGAAACAAACGGATTGGAACTGCAATATGATGAAAACTCTAAGGCTATGTTCAAACAAAAGCAGGACTTATCACATCAAGCTGAATATAAATTCACATGTGCAACAGAAAATGCAAATCTACCAAATTTGCGTCCAACTATTCAAAGTATTGGAAAAAGGAAAGCCTTATCGAAAGATGATGAAAATCTTAAAGGTTTATGCTCGAAGCTTTCATTGAGTGATGTACCTATGGTACCTCCAAAGTTGCATATTGAATCACAAATTCAGTGGTCAATGGGTAAAGATGTACCCACAAAGTTATATTCAACGAGTTTGAAAAGCTTAACACTATTCAATAATCACCTTCTACCGATGTCCAATAGACAACTGAGTGTAGTTGTGTGTATGGTATTGTCACCATGTTCATCTTCGAACCATTCTCCCCAAGACTCCCAAACCAGTGATTCCCACGAAGAAGAAAAAGTTGAAAAACCACCTGAATTGACGGATTTCTCAAATATACCTTTTGGTAATAACTTTCAGGGAAATTTAGAAGATGCTGACAAGTATCGATCAATAGTGTTGGATGAGCATACACATGATTTTGCATTTTGTCCAAGATATGAAATTTCCAGCGACTCGTCTTTTGCACATCCAAATGTGGAAGAAGAATGCGAGGAAAAAGTGGAAGCTTTCCCTCGATTAAAAAGACAATTAACTCTGTTTCATCAACTTGAAAGTAACGGAGGTCATGCCTCAACTGATAGGAATAATGAAGACAGCCATATTCCAGCATCTGCAACTGCTTCTTTAGAATTTCCGAAAATTCTGGTGGAAAATAAGACTGAAATGGAAGAAAGGAAAACGAACATCAACGTTATTGAGAAATGTTCTGTTGAAGTTTTCTCGTTAGATACAGAAAAAAGCTCCGATAGTGAGGAAGTTTTTATTAACGAAAAAAGTGTCGGTGAACAAATTACCGAAAACACTGGCGCCAAGGAAACAAATTCCTCCAGGTGCGGAAGAATCTTTCCATGCGCTGAAGACCTTTGTTTGGATGGGATGCATACAGATAACATGAAATTAAAGAAAATTCTGAATCCCTCAGAACATGAGACTACTGTAGAAAAAGTTCCAAACAAAATCCTCTTTGATTTAAACCGGGCAATAAGGATTCCATTTCTCAAAAGTCCCATTGCAAATAAAAGGCTGGTCACATCAAAGAATTTTCTGCGTTCGTTAAATCAGTCGAACACCAGCATGTCTCAGCAAACGTCATATTCCTCTGAACGGCATAGAAAGTTCTCCCGATCTAGAAATACTTGCCATACAGCCAAAAAGAGCATGAAGATGAAAAATGCAAGACAGTACAGTAAGAGAAGTAAATGTAAGCACCCACAGTCAGAAGAAAAACCATCAGATGTTAATGACTTCATAAAACTGAGTTGGAAAAGACAATGGGTCGGACATGAGAACAACAGTGAATTACATCAAGCCATTGAAATTTCTCAGAAAAATGATTTGGCTTTATCGAACAATTCTGTCGAAAATTGCGATGAACAAGATGGCGAATGTGTTCCACAAGACATAAAACGATGTTCTGCGCCTTTTGAATTGGGACAAAGGGATAGTGCTTATGGCACACAGTCAAAAAGGACTTCAGATGGAATGAATGGATACTTTAAGTCTTCAAATACAACTTTCGAATTTCCATTGACTGAACAGAAAACAAGCAATGTTTTGGGTATTTTTGAAGACGAAAATGATATTGAATGTAGTCAAGTTGCTTTCGAGTCCTGGCAAAGGGATAGTGCTTACGGTACTCAATCGAAAAGGTTGTCAGATGGAATGAATGAATATCTTGAATCTCACTTTATATCACAGATTAACAATCACGGATTGACATTGATGAAACAAACTTGCAATGCTAGTAAAACTGCTGTTAGGTGTACAGAAGAACCTGATATACAAAGTACACCTTTTTCTCCCCAAAAAAGACCAGTAGAACATTTCCAGAGTAGAGTTGAGAGAGACAATGCAACAAATGTCTTGCAGATTGACCCCCTTTTTGCAAAAAAACTTGCTACATCTGGTTTTCCATTAGAAGCCCTGTCCCTGAAATTTAATTCAGAACATCATAAAACACAAAAAGGTTCGAAACAGTCTGAGAAGAAAGACCCTTCTAAGAGGTTTGTAATTGAACTTGAAATGAAGGCCAAATTAACCACATTGGATGACGAGTTTAAAGACTTGCACTACAGCTCATCTGGCGGAACTTCCGAAAGGACTCATACTGGTAACCGACCCACAACGCATATAATTACAGTAGACCCAGATTGTTATGAGAAACTTGCCGAAGCCCGATCTACCCTTGACTTACAGGGACTACTGCAACCCCCATATACACGATCAGTTATCACAGCAGACTCTTCATATCTAATGGAATTTTTAACTTGCCTGAAAAATGACAATCTTGAAAACCACTGTGGATTAGTCTTTAAAAACGAGGTCAGTACATGTAAATTATTTACAGTTATTGTAAGTTAATACCAAAGCGTGTAGAATAAGTGTGTTAAATATTTTCATATTACAAGTATGCAAGGTAAAGTGTAAAGATTTGTATTATTTGAAAATTTCTTATCCAGAATATTCAACAAGTCGTCAAGAGAAATGCAAAATTTAAAGTTGACCAGGAGTACAAAATTCTGCGAAAACTTGGTGCTGGTGGACATGGGACCGCTTATTTATGTACCTGCTTATGTAATAACAGGAATATTGGAAAACCTTTTGTTGTGAAAAAGGTATGATTTAATGCATTGATACTTCATAGAAAAAGGCATTAAACGTGTATGCATGTAAATCTATGTACTCTACTTTGAGACTTTGAACCATCATAAAGAAACAAGAATTCAATCACTAACTTGTAACCTCCTTTTGTGCAGTGAAAATGGAAACAAGAAAAAGCTAGACTCTTGAACTTTCTGATAAAAATGTAATATTTAAGCATAACGTTTTTGTGTTAGTGCCAACGTTTTGTACTAGATTTAAAAAAAAAATTTAGTAGTTTCAAGATGAAATTGTACTAAAATAAATACATCTTTTCAACATAGATTCAAAGAAATCGTTTTCATGAAGAAGAAATCACTATACCCTTTTATCATGGTGAGGAACATTCCCGGATGTTAGACGTGTACGGAATAGTGTTAGAGGGTGATGAAGTCTCAGTCCTGATGCAATATGCAGAAGGTTAGCTAGAAGTAAAACTAAATGTAGCCAATATATCTTAAATAATTTTACTTTCTAGTTGTTGCATTGGTATAAATAAAATGATATGATCTGATACCTGTTCCAATGCAAATGAAGAAAATAACTATAAAAAACACTGTTAAGGTAAATGTTAAAACCCTGCTAAACACGAAAACTTCTTTACTTTTTAATAAAGGTGGTACTTTAAAAGAATGCAGAACTTCACCAGAAAGAAATATCCAGCATGTAATTGCAGCTCTGTACAGAGTCTTGCAGAACGTGCTTGAGGTCCATCGCCTTGGAATTGCTCATTTTGACATTAAAGGTGACATTTAAAGATGTTTCTCATTTTTTTTAAAGCAAAGCTACTGTGAAACTACTTACTTTCAAGGGGGCTACTTTGCGTTGTTTGCAAAATATGGAGAGACCAACGAATTCATGTCCACCGCAAAATATAACATTCCATATGCATTACTTCTTAGCATTCACCAACCACAAAATCAAATTTCCACAAACTAATATTTTCCTTTTAAACCCCAAAAGTTGAACTTATGAACATGCATGATTTTACAAGTACCGTATTCTTAAAGCAAATTATTTTGCTCTGCTCCTTTTATTTTTGTATTGTTTTATGGACTTTTGATCTTGAATACTGTTTGTTATTTCCATATGTTTTATTCAATAAATATGCGTTTTCTGTATTTTAGAGGACAACATCGTCTTCACGTTGAGGGGAGAACCCACCTCGGCTAGATTGATAGACTGGGGATCCTCCAAAGTCATCCATCAGACCAATCAAAAATACAGCAGTGAGAATGTTTTATCTTATATCATAACACACTGCTTGTTCAGGTAAATATATACTACATTTACAGAGAAGAAAACAATACTATTAGAATGCAAGGAGTTATAAAAATTATTATCTTACATGTAATGTACTACGACATCAGCAATGAAATATTGTGTGATATGTACTAATATTTGTTCTAAATGTGATGACTACAGTTAGGTATGTATCTACCAATGTTAATTGGTCAGAAGCGATATATCCTATTTTGTAGATGGTACCAAGCGGTTTTATCCACCGGAAATGCTACAAGACTGGAATGAATGTGAACTTGACCTAGAGAAGCATGATGTTTGGACAGTGGCCTGTGCTTTTCTTTCAAACATCAATGGTTCCTTTGTGTTTGATGACCTGTGGAAAAGATGTGAGGATCGGCAGCCAATGTATAAACAGGTACGAATCGTATGTATCTATGGAACGAGTCGTATCTATATATTGTAGGAATCGTAGGTAACTATGGAAGGAGTCCTATGTATCTATGGTACGAATCGTTTGCATCTATGGTACAAATAGTATGTATCTATGCTACGAATCGTATGTTTCTATGGTATGAATCTTATGTATCTATGACACGAGTCGTATGAAAGACAAATACATTGAAATATATATTTTAAATTTGCATGATATGTTATTTATCATATCTACATTGGTATAGTTACATTAAAACCTGATATTGGTACTTGTAGGGCTTGTTAAGCACGCATGTTGTCTATGAAGAGCTCCTGAAAGGGAAACTTCCACCAGGTGATCTGCTCCTTCAGCTGACAGATCTGTTCATGTGGATGTTGGATCCGGATGTGACGACACGTGCTAGTGTTTCTGACGCTTTAAGTCATCCAGTATTCCACTGTAAGATACACATTATTCTACTTGATTGATTTCAAGAATGGTTTTATAATGTGTAATTTAAATAATTATAACATTGTTTAATATAATAATTATTTTATGGGATACATGTAATTCAGCAACCTCTTTAGCTATTTGTCCATTTTTTATCCCATAGGCTGTATATACGAAGCGACTGCCATGAATGGACTATGTGAGGAAAGCAGTGGTATGATGATTCTTTAATCTTTATCAGTGTTTCAAATTGTTATATAGATTAAAAAAACTTCCTACATGAAGTTTAAAATATCATATTAAGATGAAATGTTTTAAATTTAAATGACAATACGAAGAATTTAAATTTGAAGCTTTTGTTGTTTTAATAAAAACGTTTTAAATTATTTAATTATTTTTGTTTGAAAAATAATAAGAAGCACGAATTCCTGAAACCTTTATTTAATGGAAGTGGGATTTTTGTAGAATATAAAAATGCTGTATTCTTCAAAATCAAAGGATAAGTTTACTGAATCTGTCAATAATCTTTTATACAAGTCTTTCATTTTCTCTTTACATGTACTTTAATTTTTTCACTGTTAAAGCTTGCATATGAATAAATTTTTATGCCTAACACTTTCATCTGCAATTGCAAATAGATAAGTTGTACAAATATACGTTTTCATATTAATTATATCTATCTTTGGTGGATGTACGAAATAATAGCCCCATATTTTATATGACATATTTTCTTCATATATTTCAATCCCAATAAATGTTTTTAAATACGTTAATTGAATATGCGCCAATATTAATTTAAAGTTCTACTTGTCAAAACATTGTTTTTTGCATTCAGTTCACATAAGTAGAGCAGCATATTTTATTTAACAATTTAATTACTTTAAGTATTCTTCCTAAATATCGTATCTTTCTACTGTTTTTTTTCGATTTTTCATAAGAAAAATAAGAAATCTTCAATAGTGACTGTCAGTAAATAAGAAAAAAAACTGGTAATTGTTGAGTTTCAAGAAATGCTTAATATCTTTGTGTACAAACCCATTTTAAAAACCCTTTTAATGCATATACTTATTGAAGTCATATTTTTGGTTGATTTTATTCATGTTTTAAAGGTTTATTGAAGACCTATCTTTTCATTTATATTTAGGTTCCTCGGACACCAATTGCAGACCATTGGTCCGCCTTCTCGTCCACTATGATAAGAGTCCGATCTACATTAATCGTCTTCCAAGAGGTTATCCAGTCAAACAACTAGTCAGAGATGCTAGATTCAGAGAAAAGGTAAAGTGAAACTAATACTGGTATGATATACCAAATCCTATTATTTCTTTTCCTGATTTTTTTATAACAAGAGACGCATTTCCAAAACTTTATGTTCCGCATTTCTCCTTACGAGTTTGTACGACAACTAATTACTAGTATTTCATGAAAACTTAGAAACCAGACAACAGCAAAATGACTTATTTTAGCAAAAAAACATATTTATATATTACATTGTTAAATTTCTTCTTAAGGTATGTCACTCGTGAAATTTGTTAAATTAAGGATTTATGGAGAAGTATATTTTGGATAAGTACACGTAAAGAATGACTAAAAAACGCAGAGAAACTAGGGGGTTAGTGTGCATCTAACTGATCAACGGTACGATGAAGTTCACCTTTTTGCACTTAAAATTTAACTCTTTGGTCAATTACTTAAACCTAAATTATATTTTATCAGATGTAACCATGGCAAGAAATATAATCTTATTTTACGTAAAATATTTTGAAAAATATTTATCATTGAAAAAATCTTGCAAATTATTGTGTGACCTTTCTGCACTAAAAAGTAACATGTTTTATGGTATTAAAAAGTTAAAAAACATTTTCTTAAATCAAGCTTTTGACGACTTAAGTGTTGATCAGTCACAAGTATTGAGTACTTTAAAATAGTGAAAGAAAAAGTTGGGATCAGTGATGTTAATTTTGAAATATTGGTCAAAATATGTGATTTTCAGGCAAAAAATGGTGTAAATTTTATATTGACTTATTTGACATATCTTCATTTTTTGGCAATGTTTGTTGAAGGAAGGTGTTAAACTTGTTCTAAAAATATAAATTAAGACCTAAATTAAATATTCCTAGCAATATCATAATGGAAAATATTCTCCAAGTAAAAGTATGTGAGGCTAAATTTCCAAGATATTAAATTTGATAAATGTGCAGATTTGCAGAATTATCTGCTAAATATCCTTCCACCACAAAAAATAGTCCCTCGCAAATCTTGCTTCTTTGTAGCTTTCTGAGCAGTTTTTTCGTCGAATGTTAAAAATATTAACATTGTTGAAATTTAATATGTTATAAAAATTGAATTGTCATAAATAGTTTTGAAGTAAGAGGTTCTGCGTGAATTTTTCCAAAAAGCTGACGAGTGTTTAGGATAATAAATATCGGGGAGGGAGGTAACTGGAGGTTTGTCTATCTACTCTCGCTATGCTTTGATCAGTTTTATATTTTTCAGATTGAGTCACGTGTTCCACAGGTAGAGAGACGTCATGGCTACTGCCTCCTGAGAAACAAGAAAAATGTTTTCTCTATAGATAGCGACTGTTTCCTGGAACTCAGACCAGTATGAATAAAAAAAACATGAGTCATGTCCTTTTCTGAGGCAATCAATTGTCCACTGGCTGTGTTCAAGAGATTTCAATCAATACTGACGAAGAGAAAGTTTTTAATGTTTTCATTTGTTGAAATATATGTAAATTCATTTGATAAATGTCAATATATTGTTATATTTATTTATTGTAGTTTATGGAAAATACGACGTCAAGTTTTGTAGTTTTATTTTGAATTTGATGAGACGCAATTTAAAAAGTCTTGCTTTTTATAATGAATTTTGAATTTGCTTAGAAAAGGAAATAACTAAGTTATCTAGATTGATGCTTTGATTTTTTTCTGAGTGTGTGTGTGTGTTGATCTGTTTATTGGTGAGATATTTTTTTCCTGAAAAGGAAATTTTAAAACAAAATGAATCTAGATCTGCGCTTTGATTTTATCCAGTGTGTATGTGTGTCAATCTGTTACATATGATAAAATAAGCATGCTCTGTGTATTTTATAATTGTATAATAATGAATCAAAATAGTATGTAAGCAAAATTATTGGTGTGAAATATTTTTATTTTGACTAGTAAAAGGAAATTTCAAATCAAAATGAATCTCAATCTGCGCATTGATTTATTTTTCGAGTGTGTGTATTTCATAATATGTTACTTAGTACAAAATAAGCATGCTCTGTGTATTACATATAATTGTACAATTGTATAATGCATGTAAAATATACTGTAATTATGCAGATTATATCAAGTTCTTGGTGCTTTTTGATGAAATAAATACATGCTTACATTAATTTTTTTATCATTTGTATATGTATATATACACCAGTGTATATCATCATTTGTAAAACAGAGAGGTTCGATAATTCTTAAAATTTATTGTACGAGGGTCATTCAAAAAGTTCTTAGACTTTTGTCCTAACTTTTAAGCTCATCTGAGCCGAATTGTTCAAATCATGACCCCCGGGGGAAGGGCGGGGCCACTATGGGGAATCAAAGTTTTACATAGGAATATATAGGAAAAATCTTTGAAAACCTTCTCAAGAACCACTGGGCCAGAAAAGCTGAAACTTATATGGAAGCATCCTGGGGTAGTGTAGATTCTAAATTGTTGAAATCATGACCCCCAGGGGAAAGGTGGGTACACAATGGGGAATCAAAGTTTTACATAGAAATACATAGGAAAAATCTTTGAAAATCTTCTTCTCAAGAACCACTGGGCCAGAAAAGCTGAAACTTATGTGGAAGCATCCTGGGGTAGTGTAGATTCTAAATTGTTCAAATCATGACCCCCGGGGGATCATGACCCCCGGGGGAAGGGTGGGGCCACAATGGGGAATCAAAGTTTTGCATAGAAATATATAGGAAAAATTTTTAAAATCTTCTTCTAAAGAATATACTGGGCCAGAAAAGCTGAAACTTTTGAAAGCATCCTGGGGTAGTGTCAGTTTTAAATTTGTTCAAATCATGACCCACAGATGAAGAGGCGGCTACTGCCACAATGGGGAATCAAAGTTTTACATAGAAATTTATAGGAAAAATCTTTGAAAATCTTCTTCTCAAGAACCACTGGGCCAGTAAGGCTAAAACTTAAGTGGAAGCATCCTGGTATAGTGTAGATTCTAAATTTTTCAAATCATGACCCCCGGGGGAAGGGTGGGGCCACAATGGGGAATCAAAGTTTTACATAGAAATATATAGGAAAAATCTTTGAAAATTTTATTGTTATAGAACCACTGGGCCAGTAATGAAACTTAATGGAAGCATCCTGGTATAGTGTAGATTTTATTTTTCAAATCATGACCAATTTAAAAAGGGTGCTTTTTACAATGGGGAATCAAAGTTTTCATAGAAATGTATAGGAAAAATCTTTGAAAATTTCTTCCTGAAAAGAACCACTGGGCCAACAAAATGAAACTTATGTGCACATTGATTTTATCCTGTGTGTATGTGTGTCAAAATGTCTAATATGATCAAATGGGTGTATAATGCATTATGTATTACAAAGGTATCTGTAAAAAAATTATGGTCAAATATTTTTATTTTGAGCGATGTGGCCAATGGGCCTCTTGTTTTGAATGGAGAAGACGCTACAAACCGTGTTTGAAATTAAGAAAATTAATATGATTTTGACAAACTATCTTAACGTTGTCTTTGACCTTACAATGTTGGTTAACCATACTCCGTGGTAACAAAACATGTTGGTTTAAATTTTGTTAGCTAACATGAGTTCTATTTGATCAAATGGAATGAAACTTCACACTTCGACTTTTAGTCATTTATGTGTGTACATTCAATCATTTTTAACACAGAGGGGCTCTTGACTATATTTATTGTATCTATATCAATGGATGGAGTATAAGCGATTGTAAAGGTCATTAATTAACAAAAGCCACTTGACCTTAATAAATCAAGATACGCCCTTGTGTGCCTGGGGAAAATGATTCAGCTATTGAAACATTCAATGTAAATTGTGAAGATATATCGAAATATGGCCGATCTCAAAAACGTCTCTTGAACAATACAAATCTGTGAAAGGGGCTTAAAAGTTCCATAGGTGGGGTCAAAAACTTAACAAAATAAAAAAAAAAAAAATTATTAAAAATGGAGTTGAAAAAATCCAATATATCTTGACAATAAGATGCATAAAAGAAGGGTAATATAATATTTGGATGTCATGGTACGCCAACAGCAACGTTAATAATTTGAAACTCACCAGTCTGAGGAACAGACTTCGTACTTCATGAATTGAAACTTTTCTGACGTAATCTGATTATCATGTCTGTTTTTAGCAATTGAATAACCCCCTTAAAACATACGCATTTATAGGTATATACATTGCATAAACCTTGAAAGTTTTCGTGATTTGAATAATTCCTATTTAATAATAATTTTTTTTTAAATGTATTAGATACACATATATTTTTTTTCTTTAACAATATGCCATAATGCGACTTTTAAAATCAATACACTAATAGACACTAACCTGAACTGACGCTTTCGTTACAACCATTCTTGTCCGACATTCACAGTCCCCACATCATTTGTAAAACGGAGAGGTACAGTTCAAAAATCTGATTTTATGAAAGTAATTTATCCCCTGAAATCAACTTTGTATTCATTTTATCACACAAAATCCTGACTAATGATGCTATTTATTAAGCTACACGTCATGCAAAATACCAAAAATAGAACTGCGTAATTTTCCCGTTCTATACGAGAAACTTAATAACATGATTTGGCAAGAGTCCATGACATAAGTAAGGGTTACATAATTAATTCTTGTATCACGTATACAGTAATATATGTACATATTATATAATTTTGCTGCTTTCTTTTTCAAAATTAAAAATCTTTTGTAAATATTTAAAATAAATTCATACACAAGTGTCATGCTCACAAACATAAAAACCTGCTTTTAATCTTACTCAAAAATATGTTTTACTATTAGGGACATTGAGTAGGAAGGGAAGAATTCGTGCCAGCACTTACCTCGGTTTATACGAACCGGTCGACGTCTAAACTTCCCACAATGGGAATCGAACCCGCGATTCTATAAAGCCCCGCGTTTCTTTAAAGCAGTGGGTCTTACCACTGCCCTATTCGGGCGCCTACTTATACGTAGAAAAATATTTTTACTCTAGCTTTAATTTACTTTAACTTCAAAATAAGAGCATGATCACTGGTAATTTATTTTATTATTTTTCTGAATTGTTCCAACTATCTGATTGGCTCAAACTGGATCACATGATCAAGTATAAAAACTGTTACAGACTCGACGTTTCTATTTTAAAAATTTATAAACCTGCTGTTTCTACTTCTGTGAAGCAACAATAGTGCTGACGTCACAATAGTCATTATAGACTTGATGTTTCTAAAACAGTTACTGCAGCTGGTTTTCATTACTGTGACGTCATAATGCAATGACATAACAATGCCTTGGATGAGAAAAATTCCAGAAAGAAGGAAAACTAACTGATAAAAAATAATAAAACAATTGTATGTACAATCCCTCGATATATAGATTAGAGAAAGCATATCGACCTCGCACTTCGTGCTTGCTTGACCTCATCAAAAGGCTATAATTGTATATTAAAGTTCACTTTTTCCCACTGAGTAGCAAGAAAAATCCAACAAAAATCCAGAAATCTTGAAACTACAGATGTACCTATACTATTAGAAATAGTCAATTTAAGCGTCAGTGCACGCTCTTTTAATGACGAGAGTGAACCTTTTTTAAAAGAAGCATATTGCATTGAAAAACACGGATAAAAAAGAGCATTATTTTATTTACATACAAGCAAAATGTATTGGACAATACAGCATAAGGAAAAACGTGAAATTGAAAGATAAGATATCATGTGCTCTATTTTTTCCTCAGTAGTGGTACTTAAAATTTGAACAAAAATCGATAAATTGATAAGTTTTAAGGCTGTTTGAATTTTGAAACAGGAAGAATAACCAGTGTTAAGTAAGTAATACAGCTCGTGAAAGAGTATGAAAATTTTAAATTTCAATATTTATATTTTTTTAAATACTGTAGAAAATTGTAATTGGAACATGAAACAAATGTAACCTACTAATAGCTCAAAAAAATAAAATATGCAGTATAACTGTTATGTCAATGTGCTTAACCAGCGAAAACAATTCAAAAGATGTATATCTTCTTGTGTTTATTACATAATATATTTAAAGAACTGCATTGTTTGATTTTCTTATTTTTAATTTTTACCTGTGGACTTTTTCATTAATAACAAAAATCATTAATATTATGCCTTTAAATTTTGTGTAAAGTCAATATATACTGAAAGGAAAAAGAAACGCAGGGTAGCATAATTTTCGATAAAAATTTGACCACATGACCGAAAATTACGAAAATTGGTCGGAAGGGAAATTTAGTTACTCTGCATCAAAATCAGTATTCAGAATTACTCAACCGTAAAATCTATGACGTCATGTAGGGAAAACGCTAAAAAGCCCAAAACACGTGCAATTTGATAACGACGAGTTTGTCAACAAATCTTGTTGCATTATTTGATGCATATGAGGTATGCACATCGTTTTTCAATATTAAGACACATTATGAATTTATTGCAATCTTGGCACAGTTTACGGAAGTTCAATTGGGTCTTGTTTTCGAATTGCCTAATTAATGAAAAAGGCAACAACGGTTTACTAAGTAGTCTCTTGTAAATTTTCCCCCATAAAACTTTTTACCCGTTGTCAGAGAGGGTCTGGAATGGTTTTCAATCAACCGTGACGATGACGATAACGCGAAACAGAGCCATGTTAGGAGTGGGTTATTCGTCCTGCCATCTCTTAAATCGCCACCTTACTACCACAAAAATAGCCATTTATAGAGTAGACGATTATAATCATTATATTCATACGACATTTGAAAGAAAACAATTCCACAATTTGGTTTTTTGAGCCAGTCAACTTACGGTTGTATTCCTCTCACTGGCGCATGCGCGCGCCGTTTGACTTAGTTTACCCATGCTAAATATAGCCAGGGTTTGAAAGATAAACACTCTGATGAAATTCAATGCAAAGGAGAAACAAGACTCTGACAAATGCAAGAGATAGACATTGAAGAGAATGAGAGTTTTCGATTTTCACTTTTGGGGGGTATCGTCATTTGAGCTTCAATAACTAGTGAATAATTAGACAAAATCATATGAGAACTTGGTTATATCTTTTTGAAAGATGATTTTAAAAGGTAGATAGGAAAACTAAAAAGTATTTTAAGAAAAACAAATTTAATTCACCTCAAAAGTTTACCCTGCGTTTCTTTTTCCTTTCAGTATATGTAAACACAAAATACAAATTGCTAGAGAGATATCTTGATTCAGTTTATCCATGCAAACTACAATTATCCATATTGTTTCATTTTTAGTATGGCAAGAGAAACTTGTTAAAATAAAATCATCGAAATCTTAAGAACCCAAGGATTTCAACTTACATATGGTCAGACTTTTTGAAATACTGAAATCAAAATATAACACTTTTCTAGATATTATTAATAATTTGTTCAATTTGTACGTTATTTGATACATGTACTTCGATTTTCATTTTTATTTGCTTCTTGTGTTCTATTTGTTTGGAGATTTTTTAAAAATCATTTGACTCTTTTGAGGTTTTTTCTTTGATCCTCGCGATCAATACGATTGATGTATTGCTGATCCAACCTTTGGTTATTATTTGGTCATGACCCGACAGGATTTATGATATCAGTCGTTTTGTTATCTTCAAAGTTCCCTTCCATATCTACATTTATCGATC